CAAGTGCCTCAAGGTTGGGTTGTAGTCTTGCTTATCTTTTACCCCCAAAATATCACCACAATTCTTAAAACACACTTATAAAGTGTTTGTGGCATAGACTAGAGATAAAATGAATTGAATTATGAGGTTCTACTTCAGAAATGTTTGGAAACTTATCCTCAAAACATGTAGAAAATAGCCCAGAGAAAAAGTAGAAAAAAAAGAAATATAGGGGCAAGACTAGGAAGTTGCTACATATATAGTCTAGCAGAAGGTTCTGAGTTCATAAATCAATTCATGTCCTATTTCTTCCACTTCTCTGACCACATAGCTACTTATGAGAGGTCAAGGAAATATGGAAAAAACACTAGGCTAGAAATTTAGAGACTTGGATTTAATCCCAACTATCCCATGAATTGCCTGTGTTACTTCCTGTCTCTAAATCTGCTGGACATAATGATTCATAAGATCCCTTCAAACTCTCTTTCCACACAGGCACATCTGGGTCCAGTGTCATTAACCTCTTCCTACAGCTAAAAAATTTGAGACACATACTACAACCAATACATTCCAGAATCTTACAGCAACTGGCTGACATAGTTAAGGGTGGAACATGGATGGAAAGACTGTCTGGAGCCCAGCCTTGCAGAGGCACCCACACCTAGTGGCACAAGGGAATTATAGAGAGAATAAAATCTTCTCTGTCTTTTGCCAAGAACAGGATGTTCCCTCACCTATGGGAACCAACTGAGTGTGTAGTGTTGGCAGTGAGCACAACCACAGCTCCTGGGTTCCAACTAGATATTCAGGGATGTCTTAATCAATGTCCTCGCCAGGCACCTGGGGACAGAAATTGCTCAAACTCTAACTATGAAAACAAGAGTCTTGTCTAGGTCATTTGGTGCTGTAATCATTAGAGTATCATCTGAGTCTGACAACTAGATTCAGGACCAAGTCCAGAGCTGAGAATTTGGCCATTGACTTCAGACACCCCCATCCTAATAGATGGCTTTGAAACCTTAAAAGAGAATAGTCTAAAAGGGTAGATTTTATGTACACATTTTAGACTAGGAAATCTATTCAGCTTCTTAGAAGACAAGATAAGAATTATGAATCATAACTTAATTTAACAATAAACAATTGTAATGTGAGAAGTTTCACCTTACTCAATAGTTTGAGTTTTTGAGGAGTCTGGAAGAATTTCTGTGCTGCATATACATATAATTATTATTGATATAATTCACATACCATAAAAATGTGCCTTTTAAATGTATACACACAATTCAGGGGCACCTGGGTGGCTCAGTCAGTTGAGTGTTCAAGTTCTGCTCAGGTCATGATCTTGCTGTTCATGAGCTCAAGCCCTGTGTCAGGCTCTGTGCTGATAGGTTGGAGCCTGGATCCTGCTTCAGATTCTGTGTCTTCCCCTCTCTCTGCCCCTCCCATGCTCATGCTGTGTCTCTGTCTCTCAATAAATAAAACGTTAAAAAAATTTTTAAGTAAGTAAAGTATACACAATTCAGTGGTTTCTTTAAAAAATTTCAAAAGGTTTGCAACTATCACTACTATCTAATTTTAGAACACTTTTGTCACCCAAGAAAGAAACCCCACACCCACTGGCAGTTACTTCCAGCCCCTTCCCTTCAGTCCCTGGCAACCATTAATCTATTTTCTGTCTATGGATTTGCCTATTCTGTACATTCCGTACAAATAGGTCCATACAAATGAGGTCTTTTGTGTCTAGCTTCTCTGATATTTTCTCCCTCTGCAACTTTAGACCACAGAATCTAACAAGAAAGGAGAAACCTATCTTAAAGACATCATCTTTCTTTCCAAAATTCCTAAAGATATCATATAAAATTCTTATATAACCCATGGACAGGACACTGATCTAGCCTGTCTCTAGCCCATACAAAGTGACGCTGCTCAAAGTTCCCAGATTGATTAAGTTCCTAGGTTGATTAAGTTCCCAGGTTGATTAAGTTCCTAGGTTGATTAAGTTCCCAGGTTGATTAAGACCTGGCCTAAATTTAAAGATCTCCTCTAAGACTGAGCATGAGAGCAAGGGAAATTCCAGGGTTTCAGAGGTCCCTGAATCCAAACCCTGGCACAGTCACTCCCTAGATCTAGGGTGAACTTGAGTTATTTATTTAACCTCTCTGCTTTCATTTTCCTCAACTGCAAAATGAGCATAACAACATTATCGTCTTTGTGAGGTTGTTAGAGAATGAAAAAAACATATCTAGAAAGTACCTAATGTCTGGCATATGGGGGCCTTCAAATTATTATTACTACTTCTTCTACTACTGTCTCCTTATAAGTGCTTTTCTTTATCACCCATGACAAAAGTGTTTTTCAAAACTCAGAATTATATTGGTCATGGTCTCTGCCCTCAAGGAAATGGCATACAATCTAAGATTGTATTACAAATACAATGGACTATTATTTAGCCATTAAAAAGAATGAAATCTTTGCAGCCACATAGATGGATCTAGAGGGTATAATGCTAAGTTAAATAAAGACAGATACCATATGATTTCACTTATAGATGGAATTTAAGAAACAAATGAACAAAGGGAAAGGGAGACAAACCAAAAACCAGACTCTTAAATACAGAGAGCAAATGATGGAGGGATGGCTGATGGAGATTAAGAATACATTTACCATGCTGAGCACTGAGTACTATTTAGAATTGTTGAATCACTATAGTGTACACCTGAAACTAATAGAACTCTGTACATTAACAACACTGGAATGAAAATTTTTAAAAATAAAAGATTGTATGTCCCTATTGTACTTTAATCCTACCACTTAGTGTTGGAGATGCATTGGATGAAGAGTATTCTGTGTTATTTGTGCGTGTTTCATCTACACTGCTAGACTGGGAACTTGTGTCAACTCGACTCTTGCAAGAAACAGATGCCAAGACAAAATTAGTCACACAGGAGATTTCTTAGGAGAAATGCCCATGAAAAAAATTAAAAGAAGAAGCAACCAGCTTAAGTGGGAAGAGTCTTCAGACCATGATGCAGACCTGGCCCTTGGGAAAGAAAAGGAGAAAGGAAAGGGTGAGGGGAGGGTCAGACTGCAGTGCCACTTTGGGAAAAAAAAAAAAAAGTCTAAGCAAGGCTGGCTGGGAATCCGGCCAGCTGTCAGTCTGTCTCTAATACCCCTAATCTCTTGTCAGAGAAGGCCAGGGAGAGTGAGGCTTGGTGGTACAAAAGCAGGGGCTGATCCACAGGTGCTGCAGCTAGAGACTGCACCAACTCTACCCCTTATAGCAGGTTGTCAGGAATGTCAGTTTGAGCAGCACACCCCACAACCTCTACAGAACCCCTGAAGGTAATAACCATTGGTATCCTTACTTACATTTAGTACGTTCTCAGTAATTGTTTGGTGTAAGCTGAATAAATGATGGTTTTCAGCCACCAGCAGGAAGAATAACCCATTTACTCAATGCAGGTGGATTCGATTTCACAATTCCTCAAGAAGGGAAATGTTTTCCATCATTTGAACTAAATGACAAGACCTAGAAAATACTCCTGTGGCACAGGCGATCCTGATGCACAAACAAAAAAGGGGTGGGGTGCTGAGGCAACGAACTGACAGCAATAAAAAGAATCAGGCAAAAGTGACTCTGAGCCCTGAATTTAACCTATCATTAATTTGATTAGCCACTTAATTTCACTTGTATAGACACAGCCACAGGATGGAGCAATCTGCAGAGGGTGTGGCCTCCAAGGTAGAAACAAGATGGCAGATAAAGTACTTCTGAAACAGACAACAAAGCAGAGAAAGCCTCAGGATCTCAGGGCGGTGAGGAGATTTTAATCATGGAGGGTACACTTGCTTAAAGCACCCAGCAACTGGAAAGCAGGTCACCACAGCACGCACAGGAGTCTTGAAAAGGATAACTCCAGTTTTCAAAGAATTAAAATAGATGGGGTGAGGCAAGAGGGAAAAAATGAGTCACAAATCTGTAGGTAAAATGAGATCTCTGAGCTGATGATCACAAATAAAGGAAGGCAGAGAGAGGAGCAATGTTCTTTTGGGTTCATTTCTCACTTTCCTAAATGAGCAGAAATCTACTTCCATTTAAAGATTACATATCGGAGCACCTGGGTGGCTGAGTCGGTTAAGTGTCCAACTTTGGCTCAGGTCATGATCTCACAGTTCATGAGTTCGAGCCCTGCATCAGGCTCTGGGGTCTGTGCTGACAGCTCAGAGCCTGAACCTGCTTCGAATTCTGTGTCTGCCCCTCCCTCACTTTCACTCTGTCTCTCTCAAAAATAAATAAGCATTTTTAAAAAAGAATATTTGTTTAAAAGATAAGTAAAGATTACATAATGATGAATCCCTATATTATATACCCAAAACTAATATAACACTGTGTTAACTAACTGGAATTAAAATAAAAACCTAATAAATAAGTTTTCCATTAATAAATACAAAAAGTAATAAATACTATATATTGAGCACCTGCTATGCACAGAATGAAAGAAGCAAAATTTCAAGAACAGTCTCAGGCACAACAAACATTTCTGAGCACCTCCCTTGTGCCAGGTATATGCTAGGCTCTGAGGAAAATCATTCCCAATTACTGCCCTAAGTTCTGCCAAAGAGACAGACTTACAATACAATGAGAACACAACATCATTGTGAATCAGGCAATGATAGAATTAAGTGCTATGAGCACTCTGAGTAGGGCAACCCTATAACTTGTTACCCAAGCCAGGACACTTTGAGAGTAAGGGGGGGTATTAGCAATAACTACATTGGTACAACAGGCATAAAGTGGGATGTTCCTGGGCAAACAGGTTGAATGTCATCCTATCTGCAAGGAAAAAGAATGGGGAGAAAAACACTGGGAGGAGAATGGGTGAGAAAAAAAGAAACACCAGAATGAAGAGGATAAATCGTTAAAGAGGAAAGGAATGAGAATTGGGTAAGTCAGAGGAAGAAGAAGAAATAGCTCAAAGAAGCCATCAGAACTTAAAGATTGAGGTATCCCGGCACTTCTCTCCTGAGAGCCACCGCGTAGGTCAGGCCCGCCTAGGAGCAAACGAGGCCCCTCAGAGCTCCACCTAGTTCACAGGATAATATCCCACAGCAAAACTTGGAGTCAGCAATGGCTAAACCCCAGGTGGTTGTAGCTCCTGTATTGATGTCCAAGCTGTCTGTGAACGCTCCTGAATTTTACCCATCAGGTTATTCTTCTAATTATACAGAATCCTATGAAGATGGTTGTGAGGATTATCCCACTCTCTCAGAATATGTTCAGGATTTTTTGAATCATCTTACAGAGCAGCCTGGCAGTTTTGAAACTGAAATTGAACAGTTTGCAGAGACCCTGAATGACTGGGTTATAAGAGATGATGCTTTGCAAGAACTTGTAGAACTCATCTATCAACAGGCCACATCTATCCCAAATTTCTCTCACATGGGAGCTCGCCTGTGTAATTACCTGTCCCATCATCTGACAATTAGTCCACAGAGTGGCAACTTTCGCCAGTTGCTGCTTCAAAGGTGTCGGACTGAATATGAAGTTAAAGATCAAGCTGCAAAGGGGGATGAAGTGACTCGAAAACGATTCCATGCATTTGTACTCTTCTTGGGAGAACTTTATCTTAACTTGGAGATCAAGGGAACAAATGGACAGGTTACAAGAGCAGATATTCTTCAGGTTGGTCTGCGGGAGTTGCTGAATGCCCTGTTTTCCAATCCTATGGATGACAACTTAATTTGTGCAGTAAAATTACTGAAGTTGACAGGGTCAGTTTTGGAAGATGCCTGGAAGGAAAAAGGAAAGACTGATACGGAAGAAATTATTCAGAGAATTGAAAATGTGGTTCTAGATGCAAATTGCAGCAGGGACGTGAAACAGATGCTCTTGAAGCTTGTAGAACTCCGGTCAAGTAACTGGGGTAGAGTCCACGCAACTTCAACATACAGAGAAGCAACACCTGAAAATGATCCTAATTATTTTATGAATGAACCAACATTTTATACCTCTGATGGTGTTCCTTTCACTGTAGCTGATCCAGATTATCAAGAGAAATATCAAGAGTTACTTGAAAGAGAAGATTTTTTTCCAGGTTATGAAGAAAATGGGACAGATTTATCAGGGGCTGGTGATCCATACTTGGATGATATTGATGATGAGATGGACCCAGAGATAGAAGAAGCTTATGAAAAGTTTTGTTTGGAATCAGAGCGTAAGCGAAAACAGTAAAGCTAAATTTCATCGTGTCAGTTTTATAAAGCAGTTTAGGTTATGGTGATTTAGCAGAACACAGGAAAGCAGGAAAATGTGTCACACTTATACCAAATTAAGGATGTTGAGTTATGTTACTAATGTATGCAACTTTAATTTTGTTTAACACTATCTGCCAAAATAAACTTTATTCTCTATAACTTAAAATGTGTATATATATATATATAATAGTTTATTATGTACAGTTAATTCCACTGTTTTGGCTGCAATAAAATCGATTTTGAAATTAAAAAATAAATAAATAAATAAAGATTGAGGTATCCCGAAAATAAACCCACTTAAGTTTCCTGTAGAGAAACTAAGAGGGAGTGGCTAGGAGAAAACCAATATTTGCTGAACAGTTACAGTGTGCTAAGTACTATGCCAAGTATTTAAAATGAATTATCTTATTTATCCCAACCTAAAAGATGGTATAATTATTCTCAGTTTATAGATGAAGATACTGAGGCTTAGTGAGGTTAAGTGACAGAGTTGAGATTGGAACCCTTGTCTGTGAACTCCAGAGTCTATACACATAAAATCTGTAGCAGAATGAACATCTGTGGCTTCTAACATCTGGGCCAGTACTACTTTTATTGCGCTATTCAGGGCAAGTTTTTACTGGGTTTGGATAGTGTTCACCCAAAACTCATGTCTGCCTGAACCTGAGAATGCGGCCTTATTTGGTAATAGCTCTTCGCAAATGTAATCAAATTAAGATGAGATCATACTGGATTATGGTAAGCCCTAGCCAGTAACTGGTGTCCTCGAAAGAAGAGGGAAATTTGAGCACAGATACATAAGAGAAGCATGTCATATGAAGACATAAAGACACACAAGGAAGGGCGTCATATAAACACGGAGGCAAAGATGAAAGTGATACATTTTCAAGCCAAGGATTGCAGGTACCCACCACCCACTAGGAAGTGGTAAGAGCGTATTCTTCCCTAGAGCTTTTGGAGGAAGCATGGCCTTACAGACACCTTGATGTTATACTTCTGGCTTCCAGAACTATGAGACAACAAATTTATTTTAAGCCATCAAGTTTGTCATATACTTTGTAACAGGAGACCCAGTAAACTAATACAGTAAGAGAAAGACACAGCAGGAGACAGAGCAGAAAGGGTGCAGGTGGTAGGAAGGTTATAGGAAAGTCAGTGGCAAAGAACCAGAGACTGAGAAATTCTAAAAGAAATATAACTGGAGCAAAGGAGAAGGTGATGTCACCAAAACCCCAAAAACCAAAAATAGTTTCTTCGGTTCCATGATGATACCTCCCTTGATCTCCAATCTCACCATTCTCACCATTACCCCCTCCTGCTTCTAAGGTCCTTATTAAATCATTGGGCAGCTCTGCCCACATAAAAAGAAAAGAGTAATTAAAGCTAAGAATGAATTTATATGAGCTGCTGATAGGACTGAAACACACCACTGTGAATGTCAGCTATGAACAATGAGTTACAGCTCCAACTAGTAAAGTTGATTTGTGATAAGTTGAAGATGGACATGGTAATCTTTAACCACCAAAATAATCAGAAAGTATGCAAAGTCAAGCTAATAGAGAAATAGAATAATGAGAAACATTAAACCAACCTAAAATAAAAAGTGAAGAAAGAAGAGGAAAATTGAGCATGAAACAAAAGAGGAAGTAGAAAGCAAGATTGACATTTAAATGCAAATATACTAATAATTAAATCAGAGTAAAATAAATAATCCAATTAAAAACAAATGATTGTATTATGAAATAAAGCAAAAAACCACCATATCCTGCTTACTAGAGACAAACCTAAAATGAAAGGATACGGAAAATCTGGAAATAAAAAGAAAAATGTCATGCAAACACTAAAATATACAAAACTATCTTTGGTTGGGTTCCCTCTGAAACTGACCTAGGACAAATATTTGAGAACACATAGTTTATTTGGGAATTGATCCCAGGAAACTTCAGTAGGAAAATTGGGAAGGATGAAGAATGGATGGAAAAAAAAAAAGAAGGAAGCCAATACTAGGTGCATTGATTATCAGGTTACTATTGTGAGCACCTGGGACTCAATCCCAAAGAGTACCTCTGAGAACTGTACGAAATCCTTCCAAGTTGTTCTACCCACTAGGTGATGAGGCATATATCCTCCAGTCACATTTGTCACTACACACATGCACCAAGCTCACCAGAGAAAGCCCTCAGGTGGAGCATCACGGGTGACTGCAAACGGAAACAATCAGTGTGCACAGAAATGATGAGAGCCAAGGAAATATAAGCAGGATATTAACAGGATACGATACATAGTGAAAATAAACTTTAAAGCAAAAAGTGCTACTACAGGCAAAGAACACTCTACAAAGAGAAAAATTTCAGTTCACAAGAAATGTAACAAATTTATACGCCACTAATAACAGCATCAAAATACAGGTGAAGGTGAAAAATTCACCAAGTTAAAAGGAAGAGTAGGCAAATCCACAATCTTGGAATGTTTTAACCTCCTTTTCTCAGTAACAGATAAAAAAAATACATATCAGAATATTAATAAAGATACCGACGACCTAAATAGCATAAAGAATTTAATTAACACTAAGGAAGTTGAACAACATCTGAATGCCTTCTTTTTAAGTATAAACAGACATTTGTAAAAAGTAACCAATAACTAAGTTTTAACACATTTCAAAGTTTATACAGAAAATGTTCTCTGACCACAGTTCTAGTAAGTTTGAGTTAATACCTAATGGATAACTGAAAGCCCCACATGTTTGGAAATTAAAAGTATAGTTCTAGATAACATATATATCAATGAAAAAAGTTCTAATAGAAATTAGAAAATATTTTAAAGTGATGATAATGAAAATATGACACATCAGCTATATTTAAAACTATACTTAAAGGAAAATGTATCACCTAAAATGTATATTGGAAAAAAAGAAAATGTAAAAATCAATGACCATCCCAAGAAAGTAAAAAGCAGCAAAATAAAGCCAAGGAAAATAAAAGGAAATAATAATAAAAACAATAAATATAAGAGCAAAAAATTTATAAAATAAAAAATAAAATTTTAGTTAAAAGGATGGATGATATAAAATGATTAATAAGTTTATGAAATCTTTGAAAGACTTTTAAAGAAATAAAGAGAGAACCCAGAATCAAAATTAGGAAAGGTAAATGGCTAACAAACACATGAAAAGATGCTCAACATCACTCATCATCAGGGAAATTCAAATCAAAATCACAATGAGATATTACCTCACACCTTTCAAAATGGTTAAAATTAACAACTCAGGAAATGACATGTTGGTGAGGATACAGAGAAAGGGGAACACTTTTGCACTGCAGATGGGAATGCAAACTGGTACTGCCCCTGGAAAATAGTATGGAGTTTCCTCAAAAAATTGAAAATGGAACTATCCTACAACCTAGCAATTGCACTACGAGGTATTTATCCAAAGGATATAAAACTTCTGATTCGAAGGAGTACATGCACCCCAATGTTTATGGCAGCATTATCAACAATGGCCAAATTACAGAAAGAGCCCAGATGTCCACTGACTGAAGAATGGATAAAGAAGATGTAATATATATAATGGAATAATACTCGGTGATCAAAAAGAATGAAATCTGGCCATTTGCAACAGCATGAATGGAACTAGAGTGTATTATGCTAAGCAAAATAAGTCAGTCAGAAAAAGATAAATATCATATGACTTCACTCATATGTGGAATTTAAGAAACAAAATCGATGAACATGGGGGAAGGGAAGGATAAATAAGATAAAAACAGAGAGGGGATCAAAACATAAGAGACTCTTAAATAAAGAGAATGAACTGAGGGCTGCTGTAGGGGTGTTGGGTGTGAGGGCGGGTGGACTAAATGGGTCATAGGCATTAAGAGGGGACCTGTTGGGATGAGTATTGGATGTTATAGGTAAGTGATGAATCACTAAATTCTACTTCTGAAATAAAAATAAACAAATAAAACCAAAAATATCAAAGAATCTAAAAATATATAATTAGGAAAGGAAAAAGGTGCATCACTGAAGATGATGGTTACTAAGAACATCATTAGACAGCATTATAAACTACCTCATAAATTTTTAAATTTATATGAAATATACACATTCCTAGGAACTTATATTTATCAAAACTGATGAATTAAGAACTAGAAAATCTGAAGAGTCCAATAATTATTAAAAGAATCAGATATGTGGGGAACCTGGGTGGCTCAGTCTGTTGAGCATCTGACTTCAGCTCAGGTCATGATCTCACTGTTCATGAATTTGAGCCCCATGTCGGGCTCTGTACTGACAGCTAAGAGCCTGGAGCCTGCTTCAGATCCTGTGTCTCCCTCTCTGCTTCTCCCCTGCTTACCGCCTGTCTCTCTCACACACAACTATAAATAAACATTAAAAATTTTAAGAGAAAAAAGAATTGAATATGTAATTATTGAGACCATGAGATATTGGCACAAGGATGGACAAATGGAACAATGGAATCCAATACCACGTCTAGAAGCAGACTCAGACATTAATGAACACTTGATTGGTGACCAATATGCCCTGCAGAGAAGTTAGGAAAGAATATTCTTTTTATTTTTTTTATTTTTTTAAGCTTATTTATTTATTTTGAGAGAGAGTGTGGGCAGGAGAAGGGGGAGCAGAGAGACAGGCTGATAGCACAGAGCCCAACACAGGGCTCGATCCCACAAACTGTGGGATCATGACTTGAGCCCAAATCAAGAGTAGGACAATTAACTGACTGAGCCAACCAATGTGGTTATGAAAGACCAGTTTTCCTAAACTGACAAGTAACTCCAGACTAAAGTAAACAAAAAAGACTTAATAACTAAATGCAACATGTTATCCTGAACTGATTTCTAGACCAGAAAATAACAATTTTTTCTTCTTTTACTGTAAATAATATTAGTAAAACAATTTGAGAAATTTTAAGAGCTGTCATTTTTATAGTAATACTGTATTGATTATATATAAAAGCCATTGATTTTAATAATTCTACAGGGCTTACATGAGATAATTTTCTTGTTTTAGGAAATATACACTGAAGCATTTAGTGGTGAAGAGGCATTATATCTGCAACTAACTCTCAATTGGTTCAGAAAAAGAATAACAAACATGTATAGGGGTGTGTGTGCATGTATGTGTGTGT